GAATATTAGTTTTCAGCTGCTCTTATACATCATTTAAGTAAAATCTCAGGAAGATCAATAGTTTTGTAGTTCGAATTTTAGTGACGTCATGTGAAAACTAGCTATTGAGTGTCCCAAAACCAAACCCAAAGTAATTTACTCTGCCCAGTGATAAACGACAGAACCAATCAGTTGTTCGGAAAGACGACAAGATGCCATAGGCTTTCTTTCCAATGAAACTACTTTAATACAACCAACAGCTTTACACGTACAGCTTCCGTATTTTCTGCTGCAGCTCTGGAGTAACAGAGGCGCATCACGTTACTGACATATTCTTTCACTAAGGTAGAAAAAAGCCAAATCGCGTTGGTGACAAAAGCAAACCAATCAAAACTTGAGGCAAATACATGTAGACAGCGCAAAACGCAGTAACTTGTGATATGTTTCACCTCTAATTGGTTTTACTTCTGATTGGAGGAAAAAGGAAAGCGAGATTTTTAAGCCAATCGCTTAACGTAGTGTTGGCAAGCAAAAGCAAACGCTAATTACTTTCGAAACTCAAATGAAAACCGCTCTAACACTCATACCTTCCCAAAAGTGCAATCCTTGATGGCGTCGACTTGGACATTGAGGACCACAAATCAGGTGGCTACGCTCAGCTTGTCAAAAGTCTTCGAGAGCTGGAAAAAACAGCAGGAGCCAAAACGTACCTCATTACAGGGGCTCCTCAGTGTCCGTTCCCTGATGCCTCTCCGGGCCCCAAACCGGGCACTGCCTTGGGTGACCAGGGCGGCGAGTTTGATCAATGATGATTTGATGTCCAATTCTACAAAAACTTCTGCTACACAATTTGCAGCGAATGCAGCTCAAGCATAGGAAGGCTTTGCAATTGTCCTCAAGAACAGGAAAAGATCTGTGGAAGGAGGGCCCAAGATATTCGTTGGTATGCCGTCAGCTCCCGATGGCGCCAATGAACCCGAGCACTACAGGAAACCCGAGGAAGCGGCGAAGATTTATGAAGTATGTATACAAAGTTAGAAGAATAAAAGAGATTTATGAGGTATATGTGCAGAGTTAAAAGAGTAGTCTCTCCTTAGAATATGAAATTCTCTGAGGGTCTGCGAAGAGAAGACTAAAGCGTACCGTCACCATGAAAATTTATCTTCTAAACGGCTAGGAAGAGCGAGTGAAAATTTGCAATACAATACAATACAATACAATGCAATGCAATATAATCAAATATATACAGAGAAATTTAAAATCCTAACAAAATAATGGTGGAATAAAATGAGCAAACAATTAAAGGTCTAATATTCTTAGTTTACTCTTAAAATGGGCAACATTGATGGCCTGTTTCACATTTGAAGGCAGACTGTCCCAGAGCTTCGTACTGATGTAAGTAAATGACTTCTTCATAAAGTTGAGGTTAAACTGTTAGGTGCACATAAATTAACGCCATTACTTCTAAGATTATATAGCGCTTCTATGACGCTAAATATGTCCTTGATGTACTTAGGACCGTCGTTATTAAGACATTTATGCAACGGGATAAGAGATTGCTATTTTCTCCTGTGCTCTTTCTTTAATCTTTAATCTTTAATCATTATTTATACACGGTAAAAACATCAGGTAGAAAAAATTACATAATAATGACTAAAAATCCAAAACCTAACATTAGCGTTCTAGCGTTTCCATGTTAATACTGCGTAACAGATCATCGTATAGAATAGATTTGCAGCAACCCAGCAGTAACCCAGCAGGGACATAATAATGCTAATATTGCACCCCATGCCACTCCCAGAAGGAGAGGACTACAGTGTCTAAATGTGGCAAGATAAAAGATTTATATAGCCTTAACATTACATAGCTAGGCGCAAAACGCCTAATAGACCAATTTCGATATATTAAAATTCAGCCTAAAACAATAGACTTCAGTACGAGGCTCTGGGGAATAAATACAGAGTTTGTGGGTTTTATTCCCCAGAGCCTCGTTCTGAGGTCTATTGTGTTAGGCTGAATTTTAATATATCGAAATTGGTCTATTCACCTGAGAGCGCCACTTTTGGCGCATACCTTATGAAGCTGTTTAGAAATGTGTTCTTTTGAAATATCATATGCANGAGTTGCCCAACATGGCGGCCATACTCCAAATAATAGGTTGATAGACATGCAGCCTTGGTTTACTGTGTACTTCTTTGATATTGGACATCCATGTTATGGTCAATTGACACCTGTCAAAATAAGGTATCCGCGGACCGGTATTACGTGACCATATCGCGGGCTCAAGTTTACAGCTTATCGAGCTCGTGTGTTGTTTTGAAGTTGACCGCTGACTAAGTACTGGTTTTCGATTGGACGGCGGGCTCATCTCAGGTTAACTTGTTGAAAACAGGGCAGGGTTGTTCGGAAACCGGTTAACGCTGACCCAGGATTAAAAGTTAACCGAGTTATAACTTTTTCTTCTATAAAAATGTTTTAAGTTGCTTTGTTTTGTGTATATAATGATTATTAAAACTCAAAACAGAAGGCCAAACAATATACAGAAAACCTCGCTGCAAAGTTACAAAACTCAACTCAAAATTCTACTTTTTCCTGGGTTATTTGACTCTGAACAACCCGGCCCGGGAGCTACGCTTTTAGGCTGGCCTAAATCTATATATTATAGCTTTAACATTACATTGCTAGGCACAAAACGCCTAATTCACCCGAGAGCGCCACTTTTGGCGCATACCTTATGAAGCTGTTTAGAAATGTGTTCTTTTGAAATATCATATGCATATATTTGAGAAAATCACACGTGCCAGTCGTATAGTTCCAAATTATTGCTTTTGTTTTAGGCCCCGTCCGCACGTATCCGGATATGTTGAATCCGCAACTTTTTCTTTCCGGACTCAAAAATTTCCCCGTCCACACGTAGCGTATTCAAATCGAATTCGCCTGTCCACACGCATCCGATTGTATCCGGATTCACTCTACAGAAACTGAGCCTACACGTTGCGCGGCCATATTGGTTTATTGTTCGGCCATATTGGTTTATTGTACGGAAGCCGTATCTGGAAAGAAAAAGTTGCGGACGGGGCCTTAAACTGATCTCCTTTTTTGTGAGTAAATAATTGAGCAGAATAACACATAGAACATAGGAAGGTTTATAAAAGCCTTTTTATGACAGGATCTGAAAGCCAAGCCAAATTTCGGTGGATTTATGTTATGGGATGCCGCCTGGGATCAACAAAATGTCATCGAAGGCAAGGTGTACAGTGACCACATCGCAGACATTATGAGCCGGAGTGGGGGGCCAAGCACAACTCTAGGCACCGGAACTGCCTCCACACCGGGTGGTTTAACACCAGTTGGACCGACCCCAAGTGGGTCGACTCCAAGTGGATCGACACCAGGGGGCTCAACGCCTACTCCACCCAGTCCTGGAGGAGGTGGAGGTGCTGGTATGCTCATTTCAACTTACTTATAGTTGCCTTGAAATTTAGCTATTAGCATTGTATTCATATGTCAGGTAATATCTTCTTTTCTCGGGAAATGCAGTCAACAGCTGTGCTCAGTTGAATCTTCAAGTATGCAGTTACTGTCAGCAACTCGTAAGCAACTTGCAGGAGTGGGTAATCTTAGTTTCCTCAGATACAGCGAAATTCCAAAAGTAACGTGCTTACGAAAGTAGGTACTTTTCTTAAATAACCACAGAATTAAGAATTGTGCTTACTTAAGGTGGCTCAAAACAGTTCCCAGCACATTTCAAGCCGTCTATTTTGATATGTTATTATAACCACTCTTTATCTGTTGATGCTTCAATCATGGCATCAAAACACCGCCTAATCATTGGTGAGTGAGCACGTTGGTATCGTTTTCGCGGCACAATAGGTTGCCATAGTAAAAGTGTGACCTGCTAAAAATACCCTTAATTTAGGTTTTAAGTCCTTTTTTTTTTTTTTCTCAAACATCTGAGCGGCCCGGAATCCTAAATCCTGGAATTTGATTGGCTAATCATACGCACGTGACCGGTCCAGCTTTTTACGATACGGCCCACGGGCCGGATTTTTTTCCCCCGCCTAAATTTCGCTCCTAAGAGTTAGCGGTAATCGTCAATCTTTTGCCTGTCTTACACATCCATCGACGATTAGTCGACGCCAGTTTATCTCTGTTCACTTTAAAATGGCAAGGAAAGTCACTGTAAGTAAATTCAATTGAGTGTTTAGAAGTTGTGAGAGTTTGCTTAATTGTTTGTAGCTTGATGCTGTAATGGCGCGTAATCCTGTGTTTCTCTCGCCGTAAAATTTGAATCAATTTCTGTCGAGTTTACCTCTCTAATCGTTGCTGTATTTAGAAGAATTTCTGTGGAATAAACTTAACGAATTTTCTCGCTTTCTGCTATTCAATTTACGGTAGAAGAGTGACGAAGTGATTTTGAAAGCAACGACTGACAGAAATTGTTTTTGTAGTAAAACTTCAAACTTGATCGCACGAAATTTCACACCGCAAAAACAATTTTGGAGAACTTAACTGGTGAAATAAATGCAACTAACACAACGTAGTTCGAATAAAATCTGTTTTTTAATACAGCTTTCTTTGTCTACTATCTGAGTTACTCGCTCGTTGCCGAGATTTTTTACAAATCGTTAGTAGACGGCGCGCAAGCCGATTCAATGACAAGAGTTGCGTAAACAAACCCATTTGTAATCTGTAAAACCAATTTACTGCAGGAAAAAAAAAAAAATGTTATTTGCCGGCTTAGGTCGGTCCGTATAGTGAAAAACTGTGACCTCGGTCACAGTTTTTCACCATTCGGACCTCCCAGCCAGCAAATAACATATATATATTTCAAAAACGGCACGGTGAAACCCTTTTAATTTTTTATCATCTCATTTTGTTAAGGAGGATAAGATGCAACTTGTGGCAAAGTTGAAAAACACTCTGTAGATGGGGTTCAGAGTCACCTGCATTTTGAAAATTTAACGTCCGAAACAAGCGTTGGAAACCACTGTTGATTACTTTTTGGCCTTTTTTATTTTTTTGGTGTTTTTATGCCTGAGGAAAATAATGTTTTGGGCAAATTTTGTAGATCAAATAAATAACTTTAAATATCACTAATACCTCCATTCCATGAGATGTAAACTTGAAATCAAAACTTATGTCACTATTTATTTCTTTATTTATTTATTTGTTTATCTCTAAAGATTTCTGCAAAGGAAAAGAGGATGGAGATTGCGCAGATCCTGATAACCCATCAGGATACATACCTGTTCTGGAGGGATAGCTTCCAAAAGACCTTGTCCAACGGGACTTGTGTGGGATGCAGAGAAAAAGATCTGCGACTGGCCGTATAACGTGAAAGGTTTCACTATTTATTTATATATTTATTTGTTTGTTTGTTTGTTTGTTTATTTGTTTATTTGTTTATTTGTTTATTTGTTTATTTATTTATTTATTTATTTGTTTGTTTATCTCTAAAGATATCTGCAAAGGAGAAGGGGATGGAGATTACGCAGATCCTGATAACCCGTCAGGATACATCACCTGTTCTGGAGGGATAGCTTCCAAAAGACCTTGCCCAGATAATGAACTTGTGTGGAATGCAGAGAAAAAGATATGCGACTGGCCATATAACGTAAAAGGTTACAAGCCACAGGACACAAAGGGCTCGGAGGCGCAGAAAGGAACTAGCATAGAGGTATTGAGATGGGCAAGCCTGGGAGTGAACCAACGAACACATAAATGAAGGAAGAGAGGAACACACTCGAGTAAGCCAGTAAATGAGCCATCGTCAGTCGAATGAACCAACGAACTAATTAACGAATAAAAACATGAATGAACGAACGAACGAACGAACGAGCGAGGGAGGGAAAGAACGAACGAACGAACAAATGATTAACGAACGAACGAATTAACAAACGAACGAAGCTAACTTAACTAAGAGGCGCACAAAGCCAACTTAATTTTTCGACCATGTTTATCCATGTTTGTTAGAGTAAAACACAAACATGAGAAAAATGAATAGCCCAAGGTAAATTTCACATTTTGTGTTGTTGACTAAAGCATTTAAATTACACAAGAGGTGAAACATTTTTCACAAGAGCTAAACAAATTTGTATTGCAAACAGCATACGAAAATAATTGCTCTGAAAAATAGCTTTAAGTTGAAGAGGCGTTCTTTCTTAGACTATACGAGCGAGATCAATGGAACTCAGTGATAGCGACAGGAACTGAACTTACTGTTAGATAGAAGGTTCATTAAACAATTAAAGGGCCTAATTGTTAATTTTGTTTCTAGAGGGAAAATTCACAAGATTTATATCCGAACAACTACGTATGTTTAGGAGTTGCCCCAACGATTTTCAAAACGTTGATTGCAGGG